CTTTAGTACCATAGACCACATACATACGCTAAGGCAGATTATACAGAAGACCGAGGAGTATAATCAACCACTTTGCCTGGCGTTTGTGGATTATGAGAAAGCCTTCGATTCGGTCGAGACCTGGGCAGTGCTACAGTCTCTCCAAAGGTGCCAAATTGACTATCGATATATCGAAGTGTTGAGGGATTTGTACAAAAACGCCACAATGTCGGTCCGCCTCCAGGATCGGGATTCGAAACCTATCCAGTTGCAGCGAGGGGTAAGACAGGGAGACGTCATATCTCCAAAACTGTTTACCACCGCCCTGGAAGATGTCTTCAAGCTTCTGGACTGGAACGGATTTGGCATAAATATCAACGGCGAGTACATCACCCACCTTCGATTCGCGGACGATATCGTAGTCATGGCTGAGACCTTGGAGGATCTAGGCACAATGCTCGATGGCCTCAGTAGAGCCTCTCAACAAGTGGGCCTCAGAATGAACATGGACAAGACAAAAATCATGTCTAATGTCCGTGTTGCACCCACTCCTCTGAAGGTTGGAGACTCTACACTCGAAGTTGTCGACAATTATGTATACCTGGGACAAACAGTCCAGTTAGGTAGGTCCAACTTCGAGAAAGAGGTCAATCGTCGAATCCAACTCGGATGGGCAGCGTTCGGGAAGCTTCGCCATATACTCATGTCCGAAATACCGCAGTGTCTCAAGACGAAAGTCTTCGAGCAGTGTGTGTTGCCAGTGTTGACATATGGATCCGAAACGTGGTCGCTTACTATGGGCCTCATAAGAAGGCTCAAGGTCACCCAAAGGGCGATGGAGCGGGCTATGCTCGGAGTTTCCCTGCGTGATCGAATCAGAAATGAGGAGATCCGTAGGAGAACCAAAGTAACCGACATAGCTCGCAGAATTGCTAAAATCAAGTGGCAGTGGGCGGGGCACATAGCTCGTAGAGACGATGGCCGTTGGGGCAGGAAAGTTCTCGAGTGGCGACCACGGGCTGGAAAACGTAGCGTGGGCAGGCCTCCTACTAGGTGGACCGACGATCTGGTAAAGGTCGCGGGAAGAGCCTGGATGCGGGCAGCGCAGGACCGTTCATTGTGGAAAACCTTGGGGGAGGCCTTTGTCCAGCAGTGGACGTCATTTGGCTGAAACGAGTGCTAATAGTTTCCAAGCAAAACCTCGGACAGACAGACAGACAAATCGAAACTATAAGGGTTCCTTGTCAGGACTATGGAACCCTAACAAGATTATCTCCTACATAACAGGTTTCTTTAGGTACTTGAGCGATAATGGCCTAGTATGGTAGAAGGAAGCCACGGAGCAAGAGCGCAATGATGATCCAAACGTGCTCTCACTTCGCCGTCGGTGGAAGCGTTAGAAGCGGCGACGACAGTATGATCGGGACTATTCCCACCTCTCGTACCCACCGCTGCTACTCCTGTGTAGCCAGGGTCTACAGCTGGACCGCCAATAAAAACCCAACCAGTGAAGGTCAAGTTTGTCCCGGGGGAAAGTTAAACGGTCATTGGACTCACAATGAAATTAATCAGAAGAACATAGGAGTTGGAAGTTAAGGTTCGACTTCCCTTCATTACAAAGCGGATGACAGGTGACATTAACAAAGGTTTAGTAACCTTTATGAAAAGATATGCACCACGGACAATAGAACGAAGAAAAGAACAGTGTAGCGGCGCCGCGACGGCGCGGTGGCGGTGTCGTGTGCAGGAGCGCATACTTTCGATGTTAAGAAGCAGAAGCGCTATGATCGCTTTCTGTTTCCTCTTCTTGGTGATGGCCAGCGGACCGATGGCGTAGGGGCGCCGCCGGCTGTATTACACAGGGATGGGAACAGCTGTGTGCTCCCAGCTACTCCTGTCCCTCTCCTGGCTTGTAAGGTCCATTGTGTAGGTGGGAAATCACCATGAGGGACTATGATTCCCACTTTTACGAATGCGTGAGCACCGGGGTCTTTTTAGTGGGTATGTCTTGTCCTTCTGACTTGGTGAGCCCCACATAACCATGTCGGGCTCACCCTGTCAGAAGGACAACCTAACCTACCGCAAGGTACCTAACAGTTAGGAATGATTAAAATAAAAATGCTCATAAGTTAGCCATTAGACTTTTGGCGTTTGGTATTTTAAATAAATCAGTAAGCTTATCTCATAAACATTAATTTAATTACTAATATGTATAATTTATAATGATTAAGCATGCATAATGGCGTATTTATTACCTACCTGTCTACTCCGCAAAACTCTCAGTAAAAACATTTTCCTGTACATTTAAAATGCGCATTCTTATGGCATAATTACACGCTTTAAACATTATGTTCTTATCAAATTGTTGTTTTTACCTTAAGTTCTTCTTAGCATTTGCTTTCCATTAATTTCATTTCAGTAACCAGCGGTTTACCTCGAAACTCCTCCTCTATGTCTATTACACTTCTGTCTTTTGTTTCTGGTAATAAAATCACTACTATTATAAAACAATACGCCACCACCACCGCATATAACAAGTACGCCCCTTCCACACCTATACTAGCGAACAAATATCGCGCTGACTTAATGTTGATAGTTTCATTGATTGAGAAGAATAAAACTCCTATAAGTCCACAGATACCTCTATATTCCAGAGGGAATATCTCTCCAGATATTATATTCGGAAGGGCTAAGCCACCCACCACTATCGTTGCCATATGCAGATGGAGCAACGTCAGCCCTATGAAAAGATGGTCGAAACTCAGTAAGCCATGTGTCTTCAAATAAACGTATAGAGCGATGATGACGTAAAGTGTCAAATTAACGGAATATGCCCATAAAAGGACCAGTTTCCTACGCAACCTCTTAATAACAAACATTGTTAGCATACATGATACCACCATCTGAATATCTATCGACACAATTATGGCTGAGAAATAACTACTATCTTTACCTATTATACTGTCAATAATATCTTTTGCATTTGTAACAAATGTCATGCCACCAGCCCATGCGGACATGGTGTTCATATGCATCATAATTATAGTTGGTTTATAAACTTCCCGTTTACGGTATATGGTTTTAATGAAAGCTAGGTTCTTTTTAACTTTGTCTAATACGCTTTCATTGGAAGTAATAGCTTCGTTTGATCTCCTGGCCATGTTCATTTTTATAAGCTTCTCCAATTCCTCTTCTTCTGAATGACCTCGTAGCCAATGGAAGGTTTTCCGACATTCGTCATACCTTCCCTTCATCGCATAAAAACTTGGCGATTCTGGTGATATAAATATTATTATTACGTCTACAAACGCTACGAAAGCTGATATCAGGGCAATCCTCTGCCACGACATGATGGTTCCCAACCAGTGCACAACTAGAACAGCAAGAAATATGGCTAGAGGCATAGTTGTCAATAGAACTCCTCGATTTTTGGGACTGCAGCATTCTCCAATAAAAATGTTGCCCGTAATAGACATTAGACCCATGGCGAATCCTTGGATGAATCTTCCTAATAAGAGGCTGTGTGCACTCTCCGTTACTCCTATGATGAGCCATCCTGCAGTCATAAGCGCAGCACTGACGATGCCTGCAGGTTTCCGGCCGTACTTGTTCATAAAGAAAGTGACTATTAATGCGCCAATCATAAGGGAAATGCCGAATATGGACGCTGAAACAGAGAAATCATATCCATAAGTGAAAATTTCAATTATTGAACTGTCATCATAATTTCGTTGAATGATCGCTGCTATGGAACACCCATAGGATTGAAAGATGAAGCGTTACACTTACCGATCCATGTCGCCGACGCTTCGTCAATGTCGGTCGTTTCTCTCAGCTGAGGCAGGAGTACTGAAGTGTACCCTATCACCAGGCCATGCATCAGGAGGTTGAGGCTTACACCCGACGTCAGGAGACACTGCAAATGTTATATTAAAATTACGATATAGTATATAGGCATTGGCAGAATGATAGACCATTAAAAATATGGCAGAAAGTGGCAATTAAATAATTGAATCGAATAAGTAATACATCGTTTGGACTTAAAACTGGAGTAGTCTATCTCACCTGTGTGAATAAAGGACTTAACCATTTTAGGGGCATTATCACACCTGCAAAAAATCAAAGGAAAATTCTGAATATAAAGTATTATACAAGCTTAGATTTATTGCAAAACTATCAATTATCCCTTCAGTACTCTTCTCTATTGATTAACAGCTTTCGAGGAAAAATAATATACAAGTTGCACTGACATCTGCATCTAGGAACAATAGTAATTTATATTATACTAGCTTTCCGCCCGCGGCTTCGCCCGCGTGGAATTTTGTCTGTCACAGAAAAACTTTATCGCGCGCGTCCCTGTTTCAAAAACCGGGATAAAAACTATCCTATGTTCTTTCCCGGGACTCAAACTATCTCTATGCCAAATTTCATCAAAATCGGTTGCGAGGTTTAAGCGGGAAAGCGTAACAGACAGACAGACAGACAGACAGACAGACAGACAGACAGAGTTACTTTCGCATTTATAATATTAGTTGGGATAGTTGGGATTGCGACGGTATGAATGAAACTTACCTAAAAAGAGTAACTGACAGTGTTAAGGTTTTTTCTTTAGATTATTATATTTTACGTTTGCTAAACCTCTGAAACCACTCACCAAACCGCATCTGAACCGTATGTTAGTTAAAGCATTACTAGTATAATCTTTTTTTACTGTTTATTTAGCATTCGCATAATTAACGTGTCCAATGCTTTCCAAAATTCTTACCCTTTTTAATTAAGAATAAAATTAATTGTAGCGAATATTTTAGATGTTACAGTTCGGTTGGACAGGTCAACAATTCTTGGCTAAGAAGGTTCAGTAAGCTTAATAGTCGATTTTAATATTAGTCTGTAGAAGCAAAAAAAATATATAAAAATTATATAATTAATTTCATGACACATTGCAGACATTACAATTTTTATTCAAACATGGTAAAAAATAGTAAATCGATTCTAAAAATGATGAGTAGAAATTGATAAAGATGGGGCATTCACAGCTGGTCCTGGTACCACCATAATAAAAGTTTGAGAAAGAATGTCTTTAGATAGTCATTTAAATTTTATTGTCCCTTTATACAAATTCAATGAGATTTTGTACAATAATAATGTCTTTAAAATAGATGTTTTCTTTTTCAAAGTTAGAATTTGTATTTTCACAATTTACTCCGTTTTGAAGTCAAAATCATGAAAACGTGTATCTCAATATTTCAAACAATGGGGCTTCAACACTATTAAGAGCCATTTTACATTTTCGTGCGAATTTCTANATCAAAACCTACAGGATACTTCCCGTAAACTCAGAATCTTGAAATTTGGCATAAAGCATTGTCATATAATGCAAATATAGGAAAAATTGCGAAAATTTCATTTTTTTAGTTATCCCAATCCCAACTAATATTATAAATGCGAAAGTAACTCTGTCTGTCTGTCTGTCTGTCTGTCTGTCTGTCTGTTACGCTTTCCCGCTTAAACCTCGCAACCGATTTTGATGAAATTTGGCATAGAGATAGTTTGAGTCCCGGGAAAGAACATAGGATAGTTTTTATCCCGGTTTTTGAAACAGGGACGCGCGCGATAAAGGTTTTCTGTGACAGACAAAATTCCACGCGAGCGAAGCCGCGGGCGGAAAGCTAGTTAATTATAAAGCGCCTATGGGCATTTTAATAATTAATGATAATAATTAACTTAACATTTAAATTAATTATCCAATAGGTCTAGGAACAGCTTAGCAATAGTACAAGGTGTGCACCGTGCCGCGCCAGAGCCAAGACTGCCTGCTCCGTCGCTGCGCGCTCGATTTATACCCGTTGCAAAACAACCGTTGTGGAGGTGGGGGAAAAGTGAAAGGTGCTTGCTCTGACGTTGTACGGTGCAGCTGTTGTTTACGAGTTTGTAACAAGTTCGGCGTGCGATGACGCCGCCGTCACATATAAGTCTGAAATAGCCTGTTATGACCTTATCTGTCAGATAAACAACAACGTTGAGTTGCACAGATCTTAGTCGTTACCGGACTAATTAATTTACTTATTAAATAGCGCTTATGTCAGATATCTGGTACTGGTTCCATAAGCTTAACTTTACCTGACAGATTAATTCCTGATAGGCTATCAAGGACTTTATTAGTAAGATGAAGTAGGCCCTTAGTATTATAACACATTAAACTATACGTAAAAGTTATCTGACAGATAAGTTCCTGATAAACTATCAGGGACTATATCTGCAAGATAAAACTTGTCCTTAATATTATGAAATATTTTACAGGATGAATCCAACAAGCAAGCTGATATAGAAACAGTTAAACTGTCAGATACGTCAGATAACGAGGCCGAAAACGAGTCTATGTTGAAGAAACTACTTGGTAATGATGAAAAAGGTAAGCTGTCATTCTAATTTGAACCTTAACACGTTGTGTTCTTGTCAAGAATTTAGTGAAATTGCAGAAGAAGATGGGTAGAAGTATCATTTGTGGCCACTTAAAATTTAAATGTGTATAAATTCCAAAAGTTAAAAAAAAATTGATACATTTTTATAAATGAAACATACTAAATAATAATAAATTGATAATTTTATAATGCTTTAAAATATTAGTAAAATTTTAAACGGCGCAAAGATACAGTGCTTATAACTGGTACTTCTACCCTATACCTTTTTTACTATGAACCTTATGATCTTATAATATGGTTCAGAATCCGATAAAATACAAGTATATTAACGCCCGTATTCACAAACATTACTATGAGGTCTCACAGTGCGCGTGGACGCACAGGGTGACACACAGAGCTCTATTCAACGCTGTGCGTTCGATTTGCTGCTTCATTTAAGCAAGCATCGTTTGTGAATACCGGCGTTATTCAGGCTATAGTCTGGTCCGTGAGCACGTAGAATTTTGTCCAATGACCCCAAGCTACCCATCCTTATCGCTCGCGCGTAATTATGTCGCTGTCGCGCTCGCACACTCACTGCGGGCGCCCGTCGCACAGTCGCGACAGCAATGTAATTACGCACGATAAGGATGGGTAGCTTGGGGTCATTGGACAAAATTCTACGTGCTTACGGACCGGGCTTTAGAAGAATCTCAAATGAAATCTAACAAAATGTTTCATTCAGAAGCTGCAAAAGAAGAATTTGTCGATAAAACAGAACAGAAGAATGAAGAGCCATCTGGAAGTGATATGAATATCGTTGAGTTGGAAGAAAGTTCTTCTGAGGATGGTAAGAAACAAAAAAATATTACTATTCATCTTATACTCTTAGAATAGTGTTGCTAACTATCGATAGTTGACCTCAAAAAATATTTTGGATATTGATAGTGCTGTTAATATTGTTATGTGCAATAGTATCGATAACAAACTATCAATAAAATAATTAAAACTGAACTTGAACAATTTATCGATAAAAAATATAGCTCAAAATGCCCATGCGGCCAGCGCTTCCCTGCTACCTTTATGATATCGTCGGTCCACCTTGTAGGTGGACGTCCCACGCTGCGATTATATACATAAATTTTGTTTTTACAGACATACAAGAAGTGAAAAAGGCTTCCAAATCAGAAAAAAGCACGCTCATAACAGTAGACGGTTTAAACATTACCATACCAGGGTGCGTGGAAGTGAGCAATGTGAAGGTCGCCCATACACCAAACGTGGAGAAAGAAGCAGTGATCCAGGGTACTGATGATAAGGTAGGTCAAAAGTCACAAAGACTTCTATCATCAGGTCATTTAAGGACGTCGCACACTTATCAACCCAGAAAGGGCGTAACCGTACCGTACGTAGCCGGTCAGTATTCTTTGTATGAAATTCCTTACTTAAACGCACACTTAGGCCCAGAACACACGATGAAACGCAATTGCAACGAAACTGCATCTAAGTTTCTGCCATAGATTCCGTTGAGAGACCACACATGACGCGACCAGTTTGAAACCGGTTTGAAATGCAACTCAAAAGTAACTAGAAGTTGCAGTTTCGTTGCAATTGCGTTTCACCGTGTGTTCTGGGCCTTATCCGCACCACATCGGTACACGCCTCACCTCGCGATTGTCAGCGCGCGAAATGCGATACGGTGTTGATCCCTTTCCGAGTTGGTAAGTATGCTATGACCTTTAGTCTCCACTGCAGGAGCACGACCCACTAAAAATCAGAAGCAAATGGTTTGGTGTACTGTACATCAAGCACCAAGCTTGGGGCCAGTCAAAAAAAGTGGATAAGGTCGCCACTCGAAAACTTTTCTGCCCAACGGCCATCAGCTCTACGAGCTATGTGCCCCGCCCATAGCTATTTGAATTAAAGATTTTCTAATTTTCAGACATCTGCAGAGAAGCCTAAACCAAAGTTCAGCCTGGAAATTTTCAGTCTAGATTCAGATGAGGAAGACAGTGGTGAGTTTGGGTTATTAACCTAATAAATTATACAAAGCGAAACTAGGGTACACTATAGTTCTAACGCTTAACTCAGTGACTGAGGTATGAGCGGCACGGGAGGGGTTTTTGTAACGTCAAACGTCAGCGAGACTTCAGATTTATGCTCTAAGTTAAAATAAAAATTACTATTAAATAGTACAGTCACGGAATGAAAAGGTTCGTCAGTTTTCAAATTGATTCCTTCAACGAATCGCGAGCACATATTACCTTTTGAAACTATGTTACAGAATAATCTCGAGTTAGAGAAAATAATCTTTAACTGTTCGTCAGTAAAGTTCAAAATTATTCAGATCAAAGTTGTTTGACGATTTATCTTGTCAAGAAGATTATTATGATTGATAAACTAAAACCTTCTTGTTGGTTCAACCTGCCATTATTATTTCTTTTAAATAAAAAAAAAACTATTGTCAATTGGTCAATGTCATCATTGCATTGCACTGATGGGATAGAAAAATAAACAAGCAAAACCTTATTCGTTAGCAAACGTCATATTTATTTAAATGTTAGCAGCACTGTTTCTTGCACTGTTATGTTGGCAGGTTTGACTCTTACAGTACCTAGTGCAAGCGAAAACCGACACTAAGGTGACGAACCTTTTCATTCCGCGACTGTACTAAAATATTTTCAAAAACTTTAGTCCAAAATCTCTGATAAAATTCGACGTTTAATAAATAAATTAGATAACATATTAATATTTTTTTTTTCAGTACGATTTTAGTACTTGTTTTTCAGAAATTCTACGATTTAACTAAACTTCTAAAGTGTTTATATTTTATGCATAATTTATTAACTTCTAAAATATACATATACAGTAGAACGCCGATTATCCGAATCAATTGGGACCGGGGTCGATTCGGATAATCGAAAATTCGGATAATCGGACATAGACAGGTAATAGAGAAAAACGAACTGTCACACATGGAACAAACTCTAATTAGTTTAACAAACAGATATATTTCTACTTGGCGTTATTGTAAAACTGCTACAATAACGCTCAGTTGAAATATATCCGAATTCCAATAAAATTATCAAAAATTACTTGGTTTTAATTTTTTATATTACTCTTAGGACCGATTCGGATAATTGGCGATTCGGTTAATCGGCGTTCGGATAATCGGCGTTCTACTGTATCCTATTGATAGACGTGCTTCGTATTTTATTAAAATTATTACCTGACTAGGTTAAAAAGGTGTGGAATGTTATTTTGGAGATAACTTGGTTCCATATAAATATAGAGAGATGCTAAGTAATGCGCTGAGTTCGAAACTCAGTGTCGTATTAGAAATTCACACACACAAAGAAATCAAATTATGTGCTCATTATCCATTGCGGTATCAGTATTCAACGTTCGAATAATCTTTAGTACTATGCAAGCAATATAAACTGTTTACATAATGACGTCGCTACTGTCATCATTGCTTTCACAAGCAATATGTTCCAATTTGTCCCTTGTCACATTTCCCTTTAGTTTCTGTGATCTGTGCTTGTTTCTAAGTTGATATCAATGAAATATTCCTTAGTACTTTTGATTTAAATTATTTTTTTTATTTTGACACGTGTTTGAAAAATCAAGGTCAGATTACAATAAAATAACAAGTGAAAACGTAACATTGCATTGCAACTCGCAATTTCGCAATATTGATGAGGAGATTCCATTGGAAAGTCTGTATTCATTCCTAGGATTCCCCTAACACCATCAAATTCAAGAGAATTCAAGAGAGTGCAGTTTCCCATCTCATGCTTAGGGACCACGGTTTAAAATAGTGTGGTTGCATAGAGCCTGCAACGGGCAACCGCGTGCGCAGCTGCTCATACTAATTTTCGATACAAAAGCAAGTGTTGGCGCCCTCACGAGTTTTAGCGGAGTTCCATATGGTAGCGGGAGTAGACTTAATGGAAATCTATGCTTCTCCGACGACCAGTTGTATGTGGAATACTCCAGAGTATGCGCACACAATAGCCTGGTGATTTTAGCACCTGAAGGAAAAACAAAAAAACATTGTTTACAAAGAAATCTGCGGCAGGTGTAGTGTTTTAATTTTGTTTTAGAAAGATCTCATAATTTTGTAAGTATTCAAATATTTAAACATAATGATGTGTAGATTTTATATCAAAAAATATAATCATTTAACAAAATTAATTTTCTTAGAATATTTTAATTCTATTAGAACCATTTTCCACTTCATCGCAGAAGAAGTCGCGGGCAAAAAGCTAGTATGAAATATGTAGTATTGCCCGCGGCTTCACCCGCTTGAAATTTAGTTTGTCACAGATCGTCATAAATTATAGCCTATACATTGTAATTCTGGTCGACGCCAGGGATGGATGAGCGTCGCTGTCGCTGGCGACAGGGTCTTCTGGTTCAGGGTTCATGGCGTAGGTCTCAGGCAAAATGAAATCCACTCGTAGAAATTAATAAACTCAGTGTATTCACGAAAATAATTACACACAGCACTAGAGTCGTATCGGAACTGAGTGAACCAAAGGTCTTGCGATAGGAACGTCCGACCCGAGTGATAGTTGAACACAGACTGCCTAGTACTGCTGTACTGTACTGTAAAGTTTCATCAAAATCTGTTCAGTAGTTTTTGCGTGAAAGTGTAACAAACATCCAGACATCCACACAAACTTTCGTATTTATAATATTAGTAAGACTAGTAAAAAGTAAGATAGTAAGATGAATTATTTTAGTTATTTGTTTACTTATAATAATATTTATTTATTTATTTCTTAGCTCTGTCTGATAATGGATCTGGAGAAGATGCAATGGCCACCTCCGTAACAAAACAATAGAACCCTATGGAGTTAAGGCTTGTGTGATTCGCCTTGACGAATATTTCGTATCCAGGGTCCGATGATGGAGCTGTAAGGGGGCAGATTTATTTTTCACTATGTGACTGTCTTTATTTTGTACTTAATATATATTTTACATATTATACCTGTTCGTGTTTTATTATGAATTGAAATATAAAAGACTTAATAAACTCTATTAAAAATTTAAATTAATTAATCAATTTTGAATACCTCATTCTACCTTAAAATTAATAACTTAAATCAAGTCTTAATACGGTCACGGCTCAAGATTTTTTTGTCCATTTCAGCGTTCTTTTTACTCTTTTGACGTTGCGTTGACAGCTTTTACCTAAATTCGCGCGGAATATTTTTGTGAAATGGCTCTTAAAATGAAGAAGAAAATTTCTTACCAGTAGACCTAGGATTTCTCCAAAGAGATTCGCTCTCCTTCAGTTGGATGATAGTCGCTGTGAGTGGTCTGCAATCACAACTCAGAAGGACTGTGGTTGAATGCCCATAACCATAACCGGAGACGCTATAACCATTTGATCCCGAACCACTCATAGTCTCCTCGATATCAAGGTTGAGAAGTGGGAGCCACGTTGGCTAACTTTCTTCGCTGATTGTGACTGCACTTCATGAAACCAATAGACGACGGCACGTCAGGATATAACACTGACATTAATGGAATATTTCGTCCAGTGTCGAAATACGAGACCTGCCTAAAAGCAGTAGGTATATCATTTTGCCATGTTGACAATGAATTCCACTAAGGCCATATTTCCACCAAGGTGGAGCAGAGCGGAACGGGCCTGAGAAGTGTTTTGAATAACCAACAGATTTCATTACATCTTTCCACATCTACTCTCCGCTCCGCACAGCTCCACTCCACGCCGCCGTCAAATTCTATAGAAAACATAAGTCCTTCCGACACATCTCATCTCCTCTTCGCTCCGCTCCGATTTGGTGGAAACCGGGCCTTAGATTAGATTTCGACATTGTTAATTATAGACGCTTAAGTATGAATACCTAGCTGTTAATAAAAACATATTATTATGCAAATACCTGTTTTGTTTTAAAAATATCATGGCCTTAAAATGTGTTCGTAACGACATCATGGTGTTTTAAAAAGCACGTGTCGTAGTGACCATCGTTATGATTTATTATTTCGCCAACTGTAATAGTTAGGTTAGTTACTAAGCCAAACCGACGAGATATTATCACGTGATCAGCGACCACGGGCGTGCAGCGATGGCGACCAGACTTAAATGCATTGATCGTCATTGCTGCACGCCGGCTGATCGCATGTGATCGCGTTGGTTTGGATGAACCTGGCTGATCGCGTGTAATTGCGTTGGTTTGGCTGAACCTTTAAATAGCTGAATAGACGCTAACGAGTGATTTAGCATGTTAAGTCATGATTATGATAATGCCCATACATAATAATTGTAGTAGAACAGTGCAGCAGACAGTGTTCCCCAACATGTGGGGCTGCAGAGTCAAGGTTTAGAAAAATAAGGAATTGTAGGTAGGTACTTAGTTGAGCGATAGAGATATATGCATACTCCATAGGTAGTAACAGTGGCGAATTAATTGAAAAAAAAAATGCTAAAGCTTAGAATTTTGACTTTCGGCGATAGGTTTTAAAAAAAATAGTAGGCAAGCATATGTAAACACTAATTTTATTTACTAAATAATAATGAAACATGCATAGATGCACGCATTAGTTACGCAAAACTTAGCAAAAAACATTTTCACGTTAATTTTAAATGCGCATTCTTATGGGATCATTACACCCAATGACGAATGTTATCATCAAATTCTAAGTTAAAAAATAACCTAAATTTCTTCTTCGCATTTGTTTTCCATTAACTTGAGTTCGGTAACCAGCGGTTCACCTCGAAACTCTTCCTCTATGTCAATCACAATTCTGTCTTTTGTTTCTGGCAATAAGAACCACGTTACCGTCAGAAAATACGCCTCCAACGCTGCATACATCATATAAGCCCCATGCACTCCTATACTAGCGAACAAATATCTCGCTGACTTAATGTTGATAGTCTCATTGATTGAGAAGAATAAAATTCCAATCAATCCGCAGAAACCTCTGTGTTCCAAAGGGAAGATTTCTCCAGCTATGATGTTGGGAAGAGGCAAGGCACCCGCCACTACCGTAAACATATGAATATGCACCAAAACCAATCCTATGAAAAGATGGTCGAAACTCAACAAGCCATGTGTCTTCAGGTAAACATATAGAGCGATACTAAGGTAAGATATCACATTTGCTGATATTGTCACTGAAAGGACCAACTTTCTACGCAACTTCTTAATAACTAAAATCGCTAGCGCACTTGATATCACCATCTGAATATCTAATGATACAATTATAGCCGGGAAATTTATATCTTTACCTAGTATAACGTCGAGAATATCTTTTGAATATGCAGAAAATGTGACGGCACCAGCCCATTGGGTTATACTATTCATATGCATCATAATAATAACTGGTTTATAAACTTCCCGTTTGCTCATAGTGTTTTTCAAGTAAGCTATTTTCTTCTTAACTTTAAATATAATCCCGTCATTAGTATTGGTAGTCTCGTTTGATCTCCTTGCCATGTTTATTTTTATAAGCTTCTCCAATTCCTCCTCTTCTGAATGACCTCGTAGCCAATGGAATGCTTTCCGACAATCATCGTACCTTCCCCTCATCGCATAAAAACTTGGCGATTCTGGTGATAAAATGATTATTATTAAGTCTACAAACGCTACAAAACCTGATATCAGGGCAACTCTCTGCCACGAGACAATGGTGCCTAGCCAGTGTACTAAAAGAACACCAAGTATTATAGCTAGAGATATCGTTGTCAATAGAGCTCCTCGATTTTTGGGACTACAACATTCGCCAATGAGGATGTTACCCACAATAGACAACAGGCCCATGGAGAGTCCTTGGAGGAATCTTCCTACTAAGAGACTGTAAGCATTCTCCGATACTCCGATGATGAGCCATCCTGCAGTCATGAGCGCAGCACTGATGATGTTTGCAGGTTTTCGGCCGTACGTGTTCACAAAGATTGTAACTAATAATGCGCCAATTATAAGGGAAATTCCGAATATAGACGCTGAAACAAGAAAATAATTTTGATAATAAAAATTAAGACTAATTATTAGATTGTCTGTGTCATCATTATCTTGGTGAATTATCGCTATCTAAAATCTATCCATAGGATTAAAATGAAGTATTACACTTACCGATCCATGTGGCCATAGCTTCATTAATGTCAGTCGTTTCCCTCAGCTGAGGCAGGAGTACTGAAGTGTACCCTATAACCAGGCCATGTGCGAGGAAATTGAGGGACACGCCAGACGTCAGGAGACACTGCAAATTATGATGCTCAAGTTATTGGCAGAGTGGCAGACCAGTTGAGTCTAGTAGCAAGATAACTTCTAAGTAGCAAGTTAGCATAATATCAGAGGGTAACTAGCTGCAATAAACTATAAAGTTATCTAAACATCTCGTTCTTCTTCTTCTTAGTCGGGCACTCTTGTCAGAGTGGTCATTGTTGAGCTGACAAGATAAACGGTGTGGTGAGGTGTTCAATGTCATCTCTGAGGGTAGCTCCTGGCGATGTACTTCCATTTGTGACTGTTAGAGGCGTCGCAAGTATACTGGACCATGGTGGACTCAGTAGCCTTAGTGATGGCGTCTATCCAGCGGGTCAAACATCTCGATAACCACGGATAATAATAATCTTAGTCTGATAATCGGGTGGTGCATTGTTTGGACTTAAAACTAGAGTAGTCTCTTACCTGTTTGAATAAAGGACTCAACCATTCTGAAGGTATTTTAGCACCGGCGGCATCTGCAAAAATACCCAAGTAGTCCAGTCAATAAAGCATTATAGATGGAAAACTGTAGAACACAATTTCTGACTTCAGGACTTTATTTAGACTAGTTAGGAGGTGAACATAGCAAAAGTCCCCGCCCTTAGCCCTTGAGCCGACGGGGAGAGGGGGGTTTAAAGGTGCCACTTTTCGGTTTTTCGCTTAATCCTCGGAAACTATGCGTCCTAGTGACATGACTACTTTGAACCAAAAAAAGCATATTCAATTTGCTACAGATGAGATGGACAAGTTTTTCTATGAATTGTATAGTTTTCGCGGAATCTGCTCTAGAAGGTCTGTAATATTGGAAATTTTATTTTTGTCTTACATGTTCCCATCAGGAGAAAATCGACTAAATCAACATTGAGCAATCATTCTAGACATGCGGGAGCATGTTAAGCCTAGTTCCAGCGAAGGGACTACACCGTGCGTATATTTAGACGAATCACTTTGAGCCACTTTTGAATCCTCATCACTCAAAAACTACTGGGCATTAACACTTCAAATTTGGCTCATGTGTTGAGACTTACAAGATATACATCAGTTTCAAATTTCATAAATATACCTCAAACGGTTCTTTAGATATTGACGTCCAAAAATCTACATGTCTGACCTATAGACCAAATTCTAACCACTTCCAGATGACCTCGAAGGTTCAAATTTGGCATCCAGAAAGGTAGTTATGTAAATACAAAGGAACAAATAAAAAACCAGTAAATTTTAACATTTCACATGTGATAGATAGATAGTAGTGCTCTAAATATCGATTTTTGAACGTCAATACCTAAATAACCGTTTGAGGTATATTTATGAAATTTGAAGCTGATGTACATCTTGCAAGTCTCAATAGATGAGCCAAATTTGAAGTGTTAATGCACAGTAGTTTTTGAATGATGAGCAGTCAAAAGTGGCTCTAATTGGTTCGTCTAAATATACGCACGGTGCAGTCCCCTCCATGGAACTAGGCTTAACATGCTCCCGCATGTCTATAGTGTTTGCTCAATGTTGATTTAGTCGATTTTCTCCTGAAAGGAACATGTAAGACAACAATAAAATTTCCAATTTTACAGACCTTCTAGAGCAGATGCCGCAAAAACTATACAAGATATAGAAAAAATTGACGGTCTCACCTGTAGCAAATTGAATAAGCTTTTTTTGGTTCATAGTAGTCATGTCACTAGGACGCATAGTTTCCGAGGATTAAGCGAAAAACCGAAAAGTGGTACCTTTAAACCCCCCTCTTCCCGCCGGCTCAAGGGCTAAGGGTGGGGACTTTTGCTATGTTCACCTCCTAACTAGGCTAAATAAAGTCCCGAGGTCAGAAATTGTGTTCCACGGATTTCTCTCTACACCGTCGTTAAGGCATTCATTGACTGGACTAAAGGGTAAGCTTGCCTGTAAAGATAGTGTGAGTGTTCAAGTAAATTAGGAGTAGGTAGGTAAATACCTAAACCATTGTGATGGTATGAATTGTACCTAGGACATAATTGACAGCGTAAATATTTTCCATTGTATTTGCAAACCGGCTACTGCTTGATTAGGTAAAACCGCTCACCAAACCGTTGCCGAATAAGTAGGTATTTTTTAGGCTGTTTTTCATTCGTATTTCGTATAATTAATGTATCCAGTGCTTTCCAAATTGTTTACAATCGCCGGTCCTCAGACAGGCGATAATNTAGTCTTAACTGCCCACTGAATACCTAATACAGTAAGATTTGGTTTAAAAGATGGTGTAGGTAGAGACAATATCACTATAACTACAATCAGTCAGACAACAAGTCAGATTTCTGAAAGATCGTTTTAGCACCATCATATTCCTAGCGTTAGAATCCCATTAACTAAAGTTAGGAAAGCTATGCCATGCCTAGTGCTCATCCGTATAAATGCCTCCAGCGCGCTCGAAGGTCAAGCCGCAGCGCACGCGGCGCGGATCAAATTCCGCCCACCTGCGCCATTAAAATGCCCGAGCGGGCGCATTCCCCGCGGCCGGGGAATCCGCCACTCCCGTGCCACTGCCATCATTAAACACAACTATACGGTCCAGAGGTCACGTAGATGTGCATGCCAGTCAAAGGCGTGGGAGAAATGATCACAAACCTCAAGAGATTATCGCTAGATATAGAGCAGTCTCAGTCTCTCAGTCAGACGAGATAGAAAATATAGAGCAGTCTATCTCATGATGATGATGATGACGGTTGGCTAAAACCGAAAAAGGCTTAAAAATACTCCTTACAGAGAGAAGAAAATGAGTTTATACTCGAATAGGTCATATTTACGGTAAATAATTTACCCCAAAGGTTTGTGACTACCCGTTCATGAGTAGTGTCGTTCAAATTTAAGATTTGGAACGCGAAAGTGTGCGTGTGATTCAATAAATTTTATATTATATCAACTTAATACCAAAATCTATATTATATGCTTTGGGTAAAATCTGCAACTGAAAATAGTTTGGCTACCTTAAATTAAAAAAATGCATAATATACATAACTAAAATTAATAAACTTAACAGTCTGCTCAAACTCCGTGGGTTGAAAAGCGAATATCAGCGGACAGAGCGGTTTTTGAAGTCCCAGTGAGTCGTAGCAATGCGAGCGCTACGTGCTACGGACTACGAAACTACGAACATTCCTCGCGCTCACATACCACGTCACACCCACACCGACCACAAACTGCAGCTCTGCTTTAACTTGTGGCAATACATTTTTGAAAAGAAACTAAAATACATTCTCAAATCAAAATTCAGGTTAAAGCAGTTTCACAGGAGTAAATAGAGCTGTTAAAATTCTAAACGTTTAAGGCCGCGTCAGCAGAACTAACAAAAATTTTAGAACTGGTCACTGATGAAACACCCACACAAGCCATCAAAACAAACGGGACGTCACGGGCGGCGCGCACGTGCTGGCGGGCACGTCCCGCGACGTCTCACTGTCTAGTTTTAGCACTTGTACAAACCCAATTTCAGCTCCAACGGCAATCGAAATGAAGAAGTAGCTCTACAATTATATTATCGTCTCTCGTGGCTATTTGTGTTACACAAGGTGACAAGGCATTTGCTATTCTCGAATAATTGCTCTTATTTGATTCACTACTACCGAGATGTAATCAACTACACGTAAACTAATTTGCGACTCTCTTAGAAATAACTAAGTGATTAGTTGTAATTAAAATAATCTACAAATCATCCTATCACACCGAGTAGCACCGATTATAATAACTAGTAATAAACTAAGGCTGAGTTGCACCACCTAACTTTGACAGTAACTATTACAATAACCGGTGATTTTAGTATGGAGTGAGATTTTTGACGTTTGTCAAAGTTATAGTAAGATGGTGCAACTCAGCCTAAGTAAATGTTGTTTTGGGTTGACACTGGCTTGAGAGGCAACTGTTAAAATAAAAGGCAAGTAGGTAGTAAAACAAAACTGAGAGTAAGCAGGAAGAGTATTGCACATTCATGGCTCATCTTTATGAAGCGGCTCCGCTGAAGCGCGCGGTGACGTCACGCTCCTATAAAACGACAATCACAAGTCCATTCCGGCGCATGAAAGCGATGACTGCGAGCCCCGACGTAGAATTCATAATTTCATTTGTCCCGCGCGGCATATCAAAACGCTGCGTTTTCGCTTAAATTGCGACTACTGGGAACATTTTTCACAAAAGTGGAAATACCGCGAGCAAAGTGAAAACACACATTGTTTACTCTCGCATACAGAGGCGCTTTATTCACGTTACGTTGTAGCAATAAACACAAAGGTAACGCGCTGTAAGTTGTAACAAAAGGCGTAATTAGGGCGCGGGAGTAGCCGGCGCTGCTTCGTGTTTTACGCGAATTAATTCTTGGTCGTGCCCGAATACGAGCAGCCGGCCTGCAGGGCAACGCTTTGTTTTTTCTCTTTTACAATCGCTGACATACAAAAATATTCATTCCACAGCATTGTCAGTGTGTCAGCATTAAACAAATTTAAGACCTTTTATCCGACAGCACTTCGACCACCGCAACGTAAGCACCGTAGCTTACAGCCTTAAATGGTAAGATAATTGTTATAGAGAGCTTAGAAGTATTATTGGCGAGTTATGGGAAATTTCTCAACTTTCAAAACTTACTAAGTGGATTATTTGCTAGCATCTGCGAAGTTATACTGCGGTCACTCATCATAAAAAACTGGACGTAAATGAGCAACCTAAATTTTGTTAAATGTGAGAATTTATCATTACATTAACAGGCAAAGTTGTGTTGAGAAGTCAACGCTAAACTTTGAGTTCCAGACATCGACTTTGAAATCCCAAGATAAATTAAACTTTCAAGTAAGACAACCTGAGTTGAGGGCTCAGATACTTTCATATTGATCCTAGCGACCCCAATATAGAAGTAAGGACTGGCCTCCAAGTCTTTCACCCTGATCTCCTGACTGCACGAATTAAAATCTAATTAGTCTGCGAAATATATTGCAATATTTCGGGGAGCGTAATTTCGTTATCACACAGAATGACACCTGCTAATTACGGGACACGTTTCAGAACTTTAATTAAATATTATACAGGGTGTTTCTTGTAAGGTGTCAAGCCGAAGGCAGGTGATAGGTGAGGACTAGACCTATCGATTTCACCCCCATGTATGTTCTACGATTTTTCATAGTTTAGAAGTTATCGTCAATTTTGTGATTTTTTCAAATTGTATGACCCAGTAGGCTTTAAATTTTTGTATCTTTTTTTTGGGTCGACTTTTCTCAGATTTCTTTTTTTTGACAGATTCCCTATTAATTGCAGATTTTTGAAAAAAATAATCAACTTCCTATCTTTGATGCAAGATACAAAATTTTTGCTAGAAACATAAAAAATATGCTATTAGCGGAACATTCTAAAATTTTCAACTTAAAAGTTAAAAAAAAAAGAAGAAATTCCATAGGTCCAAAATAATTTTAAAAACTGCGCAGTTTTCTGAACTTTCATAATAACACAAAAAAACATGTACTTAATAGGCCATTATTTTCTGTAATCGCTCCACTAATGTGGTAAGTCGGAGATTCCGTTACATGTTTTTGACTTTCTTAGGACTAACTAATGATTGCAATTCTCTAATTTTTTTTAAACTTTTAAGTTGAAAATTTTAGAATGTTCCGCTAAAAGCATATTTTTTATGTTTCTAGCAAAAATTTTGTATCTTGCATCAAAGATAGGAAGTTGATTATTTTTTTCAAAAATCTGCAATTAATAGGGAATCTGTCAAAAAAAAGAAATCTGAGAAAAGTCGACCCAAAAAAAAGATAAAAAAATTTAAAGCCTACTAGGTCATACAATTTGAAAAAATCACAAAATTAACGATAACTTCTAAACTATGAAAAATCGTAAAACATACATGGGGGTGAAATCGATAGGTCTAGTCCTCACCTATCACCTGCCTTCGGCTTGACACCTTACAAGAAACACCCTGTATAGACGTCGCTAACGTGAAGCCGTCTATACAGCTCGAGACTCGCTAGATTACAGTAAGTAGCGTGTAGAGGTGTGAATATCTAATTATTACACACAGCAGTCTCAAAGACGAAGTTAATTACACTTTGAAGCACAATAGTCCCAATTGTACTTCCTCATTAATATCTGCGAGTGATGCCGGATTTACCATGGAATTGGCAATTGCTTAACATTGTGTCAACCTTGTCATACGACAATAACTCATATTAATATAATTAAATTAATAGGTAAGATACTGGATCTACGTGATTAAAGCGAACGTCAAGTCAAAGTCAACATTTTCTTTATTTGTTTAATTATACTATTAAATAGTACTCTACTACATGTCTCTTAATCTTTATACCCTACCAGCGCTTCGAGATCAACATTTGGCAAGTGCTGAGAAGAAACGCCGCAACAAGTCACCACTACCGGTTGATAAAAAACAAATAGAAATAGCAGTAGTACTCGTAGGTACATGATTCAGGAGCAGTTCTCTGAATTTACCACGCATTCTTGTATGGTGTATCTTATGAGAGAGAATGGGTATACAAAATTGCGTAGTTTAGCGTGGCAGCGTTCTTCAAAGTGACTCACGTTGGGCGGCCAATTTAGCGTGGCAGCGTTCTTCAAAGTGACTCACGTTGGGCGGCCAATTTAGCGTGAGACTCTTCAGAGTTGGGCTCTTCTCAGGGTTTGGGTTCTTTTTAAAATGAAGAACACGACGCAGGAGTATGTTGGCAAGTGTGTATTTCGCTTCGAAGCTCACAATCAACTGGCTTGTTACTGCGAAGACGCAGTAAGGCAAAAACAATACAAACTAATACAATACAAAGCAATAAAAACAATAGAAACACCGCAGCCCCTAGTCGTGGTATCTTTTGGGCCGTTTGATTGGCCGACGCTTAGGGCGCGAACTGGAGTGGTGTTCGTTGGTTGGTTGTCGCATATGGCGCGAACGAGAGTGAGCGCGGCGGGAACGAGGCGAATCGGCCAGACTACCTGGATTGGCGATAGCTGGCGTTATTAGGCGCGCTACATCATACAGTATTGTAACTTCATATAAACAGACGAAACGAGAACTTTCTTTCGAAATTCAAATCTCGGTATGCGCTCGGTATGCAAAAGTCGGGGGTGTCGCGAATGTGCCGAATGGACGTCGG